GGAAGGAAGGAAGGAAGGAAGGAAGGAAGGAAGGAAGGAAGGAAGGAAGGAAGGAAGGAAGGAAGGAAGGAAGGAAGGGAAGAAGGGAAGAAAGAAAGAAGGGGAGGGAGGGAGGAAAAGAAAAGGGCTTTGTTATTTGTTTATGTCATTCTTTCCAACAAAACTGCTTTTTAGATAATTTGGGGAAAGTTTTTTTCCTGTATGTCACCTCACTCCCCTCACCTTAAAAATTCCTTTGAAGTCATAGGGTATGGGTTGGATTCTTGTCTGAGTGGTCCTGTCTTTGGTGAAGACACCAAAGACAGTGAAGATACCAGAGGCTGAAAACTGGGACAGTTTGCAGCGTCAGCTTCTCCATTTTGGAAAGAGTTTGAGGTTATTGTATTTTTTCAACACACATAACGGTACTGCTTTCTCTTTCTCCGCCTTCTTCACTTGATTTTTGAGGTAGGCCTGCCTTTAAATAAGAGATGTAGGGAAATAAGATGAAGGGGAAAATGGTTATGCAAAATTTTCAACTCACCACGACTTCTGCATTACTGGAGATAAAAGTTTAAATCACGAGCAATTACCAAAGCTCTCAGCATTAGTTTCCTCGCTCCTGAAAAGCGAGGAAATTGCAGAGGGTTCTCCGGTCTTCAGAAGCAATCATCCATGTCAAAATAAAAACCACTTCTAACTCTATAGTAAATGAGTTATACAAACCAGACAATATTATTACTAGTAACAGGTATAAAATCTAAACACTGAATATTAAAATGGAGTAGGAGAATGCTACTGTCCGCTAGATGCAGTGAAAAGTTATGGGTGTCTTTTACTGTGATACTTTCCCTGACAAGATCTTTAGTGTATTTGCTGCAATAAAGCATTCTAGAAATGCAATATTAATATTATTTTAGAAGGTGCAAAGCAGTTTCAAAACCGTTATTGAGTGAAGGCGTCGCGGAGAAATGCTTTCCATTTTCAACAGACTGAAGTCGCGCTCGGCTAGCTTTTGGAACCAGAGGCGGCGGGTCCTAGAAGAAAGAAAGAGACGGGAGACCCACCCACAGGCGACAGAGGGGTCATCTTTCTAGGCCATTGAGGCTTCTGCGAACGAAAAGCGGCTCACAGCCGCTGAGACCGCGAGGAAAACAGATGGGGGCGCCAAATGACAGCAATAAAGGCATCGGCGGATTTCCGCTCAGGCGGAGGGACCACTGGCTGCCAGAGTCTTGCCTCCCCCCCCCCCCCCGCCCCCAGCCTAGACCCGAGAGTTTCTTATAGTGCCATGGGTAAGGAGAATTGGTAGCAGGGCCCTCCGGGAGACACTGGAGGAGCTACGGCCCGGAGCGGCGGAGCTGGGCGTCCCGGCTGAGAAGCAGCGGGGGGCGCCCGGAGGGGTGGGCTCTCATGCTGTAAACATCCAACAGGGTAGCTGAAGGCCTGCTCCAGGAGAACGCAAGTGCCAGGGGCCGAGTGCCCGCCAGGGTGGGACAGCCACTGGGACAGGGGCAAAGGTGGGCGCTGTTCTCAGACGGAGAGCATCGCCTACCAGACAGTTGCTCTGAGCTGGGGAGCCTCGCCGGCTTTCCCACTTACGACTGTGAAGAGGTGGGCTTGACTTTCTCGGCAGGGCTTGCTCGTAGGAATAAGTTGGCGCCGAGGGGGAGAGAGAAACTTTTGGCAACGGCTATATATGTACACATGTGTATAAATATCGTTCACACCTCGCCTCCCCTTACATTCCTGACGCGCCCCCAACGGCTCCAAGGTGAAAAAGAAAGCGCCAACAGACAGCTGGGCAAGCAGACCAGGGGTCTGCCCCTAACACACCCCAATGTGCTGGGTGTGTCCCAAAGCGGGAGGGGGGGCAGGTTAGGGTCTGAACGGGTGTCGTGACCCGGGTGCGTCTAGATTGCCAGGCTCTCTAGGCTGCTGCGGAAGCGCGCACGCCGGACCCTCGTGTCCTGTCCCTGTCCTCCATGGACCTCTCCAGGGCGGGCGAATCTCCACCTCGGGGGCAGCAGACGAGCGAACAGGCGGGATGCGCCCGAGTCGGGCAGGGTGGGGCGCAAGTGCGGGAGAGATGAGCGGATCTGAGTGAAGATTGATCTTCCTTAAAATGGTCGCCACCGGCGTCATTATGACTATCAAAGTTATCGCCAAGAGGCTCAGCCTCCAACCTCGGGCAGGAAGGAGAGGAGACGAGGCTGGTCGGAGACTCTCGGTGCCACCAGGCAGCACCAGAAGCTCCCGGGGGCTACAGGTAAGGGGCAGGGGTGGAGGAGGGGGCACGGAGAGGAGGAAGAAGAGCAGAGTAGCTGAAAATCCTTTCCTTCCAGTTGCTCTGCTATGAATCCCTTTATTTGAAAAAAGGGTGGGGGTTTGGGAGGGAAAGCTGGCAATTTAAAAAAGTGGATTCGGAGCGGGCCCCTGTGGTAAGGTAAATCATGATTGTGTTTAAAGTTAGCAGTCGAATTCTGCCATCAAATCGTCCAGTTTAGTTCGTTTCCCCTAGGGGAAAATGCGAGGCTAAGAGAAGCGTATCTATCAGCCAGATTATAAAGCTAAAAATCTAGGGTCTTCGAGTTCAGGACTCAGCCTGCAAACAGTGCTAGAAAATCAGAGAAGATGTAATGATTTCCGTTTGGAGGCACCGACCGGCCCAGCCACGTAACAAGGAAAAAAAAAAAGCGTTTTCGAAAGTCTAAAAGGTATTCTCTCTCTCTCTCTCTCTCTCTCTCTCTTTCTCTCTCTGTCCGGAGGAGAGCATTCAGACTGAGAAGAGAAAGAACCCAGGATCCTATTTGATAAAATACTGATTATTAATATTTGGTTCTTGAAACAGAAAGATGAGTAGTCCTGACAGGAGCAGGCGCAAGGTCTTCTTACGCAGCTCCTCCTGTATCCTCCCCTTTACCCGCCCCCCTTACGCCCCCAGCTTGTAAACGCTAAAACAAAACAAAACAAAACAAACTTCACAAGGATTTACTCCGGAAAAAATCAAAGCATTATCTATTATTTAACACGTATCCGTGTTGGTGGAAAAATGAGGAAGGCGCTGCGTGATTAGGACCTGAGGGGCAGCCCAGCAAACTGAGAGCGTAATGATGCCCCTAAATGAAGGGGGAAATGTGCCGCGGCGTGTTCTATTAATCAGACTGTCAATTTCACCCCCGAGGCCAAACCCCCGGGCGAGCAGAACTGGCTGGGAGCGGGCAAAGGAGCGGAGCCTTCTTCCTCACTTCTCGTGTCTTCTCGTCTCCTACCTGGATCTATTTGTCTGCTCTGAAGCCGCCTTCGTTCCCCACTGACAGGAGCGTGTATTTATTTGCTTATAAACCTGTTACAATAAATGATTATTCGAACGGCGTCATTCGTACCTTAATGACGAGCGGGCGCTACTTTTTGATGAATGACATCTCCGACTCAGAAGGATGTATGGGTCATTTTGACCAGTCATTCCCTCGCTCTGGCATCCCACAATTTTTCCGCCTCCCTCCAAAAGAGATAATAATATTTAGAGCCGCTTGCTGGGGCTGAATGAGAATCAGCCCTAGGCGCAGCCCATCATTAAGACGGGACAGCCAGGCCACTGTGACATTTTTTAGAAAGCTGAGATGATGGAGAGAATAAGAAAAGAGATGATTCTGATGGAGAGAGGGCTACACAGCCCCACTGCCGGCAAGAGGTTCTCCAGCTTGTCCGATCCGGCCGGCGGGGCTGTGCTGGAGGCCCTGGAAAATTCGCAGCACCCGGCTCGCCTCAGTCCGCGCCTGCCGTCCGCCCCGCTGCACGGCGCGCTGGGAGACCTCCCCGCCAAGGGCAAATTCGAAATCGACTCTCTGTTCAACCTGCAGCACCCGAGCAGCGAGACCACCGTCTCCTCCGAAATCGCCTCGGCCACCGAGGGCCGCAAGAAGCCGGCTCACTACCCGGAGGCGGCCGCCGAGGCCGACATGAGCGGCGACGTGGAGGTGGGCTGCTCGGGGCTGCGCTCCCCCGGCGGCCTGGGCCCCGCGCCGCTCAAGGAAAACAACGCCAAAGGTAACGGGGCAGCCTCGGAGCCGGGCCCCGTCCCCCCGTCCCTCCCGGCTCCCCGGCAGCTCCCCCCGCGCCTCGGCCGGCCTCTGACTTTTAACCAAAGTGCTGCTCGGAGCCGGCGGGGGCAGGGAAGGGACGCTCGCTGGGGACCGTGCCCCCCGGCTCTGCGCCTGGGGCTCCCCAGCACGGCGCCCGGCCTGTGCAGCCTGAGCGGCAAGGCCCAATCGCCAGGCTTCCCGCCTGCGGATCTCAGAGCCGGGCACCCCACCCCACCCCATCCCACCCCGGCTCAGTTGCTCTTGGGGTACCGTGGGCAGGAGCTCCGAGCTGGGCTGCCCCTGGAGCCCCCAGGGCCGGGCGGAGGGGGCGCCCCTCTGGCCTCGCACCTCCGCTGAACCGCTCTGGGTCAGCGGCAGAAAGTAGACAGCTCTGCCCCGCACGGGCTGAGCTGCAGACGCCTCGAAAATCAGAGCGGCTTCTCAGCCCCAGAGGCTGTCAAAGAAAGGTTGGAGGCCGCGTTAAAAAGCCGCCCTGTGCTTTCCAAACTCGGCTCCTCAGACTGCGTCCGAGGCAGGCATTTTCCCTCGGCCAATTTTCCTGCCGAGTGGAAATTTTCTAATTATTGGAAGAAGAAAAAAAAAAAAAAAAGAGCAACCCTCTTGAATTCCGTTTCTATTATTTGGTTAGGAAGGGCTCCCCAAACTTCATTGATTCCATTAACAGCAGCAATTTGTAAGCCTGACAGACCTCATCAATTTTGACAGCGGCTTCCCTTCCCGCAGCCCCCAGCTAGCAGCCCCAGCTCAGGGTTCTCGGGGGCCCCGAACGGCTACTCATGCTCTGCGGACTGTTTGCTTGCCAGGGTACCCGGAGAGCGGCTCGGTCCCGGGCGCCACCACGCCGGCCTCGGGCTCCGGCCTCGGCAGCCTGCACGGAGGCGGCGGGGCCGGCGGGGGCGCGGCGCTGGGCGGCTCCGGCTCGGGCTCCGGCGCCGATCAGGTGCGGCGCTACCGGACGGCCTTCACCCGCGAGCAGATCGCGCGCCTGGAGAAGGAGTTCTACCGGGAGAACTACGTGTCCCGGCCCCGCCGCTGCGAGCTGGCCGCCGCGCTCAACCTGCCCGAGACCACCATCAAGGTAGCGACTCCGGCCTCCCTGGGCCACCTGGGGCGATTTGTTTGTTTGTTTCTTTTTTTTTTTTCCCCTTTCCCTTTTCGGGGTGCCGAGAGTTGGGGTTGGAAGCCCGCCGGGGTTTGTCACGGAAGGGGCAGGCTTGTTTATTCCTCCTGAGCCGAATCCCAGTCAGTTGGCAGGCCGGGCAGACCCGAGAAGGATGCCCGAAACGCGAGGCCCGGGCGCCAGCCCCTCGCCCTGCTCCGTTCTGCCCAGCAGCTGTCCAGGTGCCCCTCTCCTGTGCCCAGGGTCCTACTTTGCCCTCAGCTGTGAGGCAGGCCGGCTTATGTTTCTCTGGCACAAACCCGAGGCGAAACTTCTCCTTCTCTCCTGACCTCGGAGCTTTATTCCCCACAGGAGTCGTTGCTACCTGGAGAAAAGGTTATTTAAAATATCGACTGGGTTGAGAACGTAGTTTCCTAAAGAAAATTTCTCTTGGGCAACAGGAAACAACGAAATGTTCCATATAGACGTGTGTGTGTGTGTTTAGGTTATTAATTTTTATTATGCATTCGGAAGAGAAGGGAGGGAACCAGGCAGGCTTGGTGAGGTCTTCACGGGGCAGAAGGGACCGGGTTTCCTTTCATTTCGAGTTGGGACGAATGATGTCTTTATTAGACAGTCCACCAGGAGCGGGCAGGAAAGTTCCCTTTCCAGGCTCCGGGCGCACAGCTTTTTGCTACTCATTTAAAGCGAATGATTCCAACAAAATCATCCTTTCAATACCCTGAACGGACCCGTGTCCCCAGGGGACGGTTCCCGCAGCTTGGAGGGCTCAAGGCCCGGAGCCGCTCGCTCTCAGAGAGACCTCGAGGCAGCCCCTCTCCAAAGGCTGCCCAGAATCCCCGTGCAAATCCTGGGATTGACGGCCCGGGCTTCGGGGAGGCCGGGCGGTGGCTGGGGAGACGGAGGGAGAGGAAGGGCCGGTTTGGGATGAGGGGAGGAAAAAAGGCAAGTGTAGAGCCGGGCCCCGGGAGCCGCGCAAGGCCCGGAGGGGAGGCTTGCGGCCGGGGAGGGCCAGCGCGTGTCGGTGCGCCCCGCGCCGTCCGGGAGAGCAGAGGGCTGCGGGCCGGAGCCGGGGGCAGGCCGGGGAGGCCGGGGAGGCTGGACGGGGCGGACGGGGCGGCCGGGCTCCCTGACGCGGCGGCGGCGCGGCTGTCCCCGCAGGTGTGGTTCCAGAACCGGCGCATGAAGGACAAGCGGCAGCGGCTGGCCATGTCGTGGCCGCACCCGGCCGACCCCAGCTTCTACACCTACATGATGACGCACGCGGCGGCGGCCGGCGGCCTCCCGTACCCCTTCCACTCGCACGTGCCGCTGCACTACTACCCGCACGTGGGCGTCACGGCGGCGGCGGCGGCGGCGGCGGCGTCGGGGGCGGCGGCGGCGGCCTCGTCGCCCTTCGCCACGTCCATCCGGCCCCTGGACACCTTCCGGGCGCTGTCGCACCCCTACTCGCGGCCCGAGCTGCTGTGCAGCTTCCGCCACCCCGGCCTGTACCAGGCGCCGGCGGCGGCCGCGGGGCTCAACAGCGCGGCGTCGGCGGCGGCGGCTGCGGCGGCGGCGGCGGCGGC